TTGTCTAAAAGGAACCTAACACCCAATTACACCAATCAATGTTACCACACACTATTTTGGGAAAAGAGCCACCTGGTGGTCAGATTAGCTAACTATCCCTGCTTACACTCAGAGAAAGTTACACAGCACAAGGTTCAGCAAGTGCACTCTCAGTGACCCTGAGAGGTGATTTCTAAATTCTGGCTACAGTGGATTATACAGTATATAATTCAGATTAATGTAGATTGAATGCACTTTCTGATTCAAAGAGACACTGTCACTAGACCATTCATTTAAACAAAAATCTTCCCATCACATGTGCATTTTATATATGTTATTTACCTGTAAAAGTATCCCATTTGGAAACTCGGGCACTGCCCGAGCGCCCGGGGTCAGTAGGGGGCCCCATGAGATGCCCCTGGTACCTTTTTCATAGGCTTTTTTGAGTTTGGGCAAGGACACAGGGGCCCCATGATCCCCTATTGCCCGGGGGCCCCATGAGCTGTCAGTCCGCCCCTGCCCATGTGTAGGCATCCAAAAGCCCTAAAACCGCTGCTGGGCACCCTCATCTTGGATGTGATGTCAATAGTCTCAGCAGACTAACAGCTGCCACTCAATTGACATTCTATAGTAGTCTCCTTCACTGCTTTACTTCTTCCCCTGTAGCTACATAAAAGGTTATGTAGGAAGGAAAAAGGAGGGGGCAGAGGAGCTGGCCCAGCAAAGACTGTAAATAAATACTCCCCAGAAGAGAAGAGAGCTATGATGTGTAAGGATGGAGGGGACTATCCTGGGGAATTGACTCCAGCACATTGAAAGGAACATTGCCAGTGAATAAAGAAATAATTTATGTAAAATACAGTAGGCTAAGTTCACCCTTTTTGTTTCTAAAATCCAGCTCCCCTATGTACCATTAAAAAAATGAAAAATATAAAACTTTCTTTGATTTGGAGAACAAGGCCTTACCTTAGCCCTTGCTGTATTTCTTAGAAAGCTTCATCACTTGCTGGTATGTTGATGTGGGACGGAAAAAAAAAGAGTAAGACACAGGAAGGAGTTTACTAGCTTAGCTGATCTCATAGGCACACACATCCTGCACTCATTAAAACCCACACCCTTCAACCCATCAATTATTTCTTCACAGTATCCCCGTCATCTCTCTATGAGTGCATTTGCCTGGCTTCCCCAGCGTTCCTGCAAACGGGCTGCATGCTAAACTCACTGGAGCCCACAGGATACCCCTGATGTATTGCAAGGGCCTGCCTGATTGGATGCAGAGTGATTGGATAGATAGTGTGTCCTCCTATTATATAGTTTTTGTAAATCTAAAGGAGATTGTACAGAGATTGTACGGCCACATTTATACACCTAAAGTTACCTAGTTGCGCTTTCAGTGTCATTAACTGTTACCGATCTTCCAAACACAGAAGAAGGCACACACTTTGTCACATGAAAAAATGGGTGACAAATGCAGCAAAGCGTGCAGTAAAAAACGTGCAACCTGCACCACGACAAAATGTCCCATGAGCTACTTTGATACGTCTAGCCCAGCCCATTGAAATCAACAGGTTGCCCTATGCATGTCACTGAAAAAACGAGCCACTACTCTAGGTGTGAATGGGGCTTGAAAGTGAAATTGGTGCATTTACACAGAACAATGAGGCTCCATTCACATCTGTGTGTTTCCGAATGCATGGCAAACGTCACAGAAAAATGCATGCTTTGCCATGCATTTCAGAAATACACTGCAAATGTGCATTGTGTTTGTGTTATTACATTTTAAAGGCACCCCAAGTGCGGCAAACACACCAAAAGCTGTGGTAACACAACGTGCTCCGCTCCAAAAAAAGTTCTGGAGCTTCTCTGGGGCGATTGTTGTGTGTATGGCAGCCAATTCAACTGAACAGGTTGCCCTATGTGTGACGGGTGAAAATGCTCCAAAACACCCAAAACAAATGCAGGAGAAAATGGAGAAATGGCATTGGAAAACACTTCTATTTATTATGAAAATTGAAATTGTGCCTGAAAAGGTGAATTTACCTTTAAAATCTACAAATATCCATTTATAATACTTATTTGTTCTGCTTTTATCTGCAATTCTTAAAGTTGATGACATGGTCTCTTACAGCAGGAGTGTCAAAGTCAATTTAATCAGGGGGGGGGGGGGGGGGCGCATCAGCATTAGGGTTGCTCTCAAAGGACCAGTTGTAATTGTAAGGCTAGATGTCCAGAGCACTCCCCCCCCTTTTGCATCAGATGTCAAGAGCCCCCCACCATCAGAAGTCACAAGTCCCCTACCCTCCCTTACATCACAGTTACCTTATGCTGCTGCTGGGAAAAAGTTGGGGGCAGAGCTGGGAAGCATAAAGTGCAGGGTCTGGAGGAGGACCAAATGAGGGCTGGAGTCAGCTGCTGGAGTGTACTGAATGCTGAGACCAGGGAAGGAGGAGACAAGGGAGGGCTGCGGCTACACAGCAACTCTCTACTGCCAACTGCTGAGGCGGGGGGGGGGGGGGGGGGGGGAGGGACAAGCTTCTCCATGGCTGCATAGACAAGTGCAAGATCTAGCGGAGGAGTTCTGTCCTTCTCTCTGCTGCCAACTGCTGAGACACAGAGGGAGTGGAGACGAGGAGGGTGCCGCAGCTTCAAGAGAAGTGCAAGGGCCACATGCTATGGCCTAGTGGGTTAGATTTGGCCTATGGGCCTTGTGGTTGACACATGTGCCTTACAGTATAACTAAACTTAATTTTTTTTCTAAAGTAGAGTATATAGAGTAGAGAGGAATTAGAACACCTGTCAGGTTTATATATTTGTCTGTGCCCCCATTAGGGAGATACACCCTCTCTATTTTTACATAGTTAGTCTGGCTGAAAAAAAACAAAAGAACATCCAGTTCAATCATTAAAAAAAAAAAAGTTATAATCATATACCTACAGTTGATCCAGAGGAAGGCAAAAAAAAACCCAGCAAAGCATGATCCAATTTGCTCCTGCAGGGAAAACAATTCCTTCCTAATTCCCAGAGAGGCAATCGGATATTCCCTGGATCAACTTTACCTATAAATGTTAGTATCCAGTTATATTCTGTGTATCTAAGAAAGAATCCAGGACTTTTTTGAAGCAATCCACAGAGCTGGCCAGAACACTTGAGGGAGTCTATTCCACATTTTCACAGCTCTCACTGTGAAGAAACCTTTCCATGTTTGGAGATGAAATTTCTTTGCCTCCAGATGTAAAGAGTGCCCCCTATTTGTCTTGTTTACCATCATCACCAAGAGTGTAAGAAAATCACACATTTTAGGTTGTCACCAGAACAGCAAGAGAAGGGAAATCTTAGAATGGTGACAACCAGGGAATTCCAAGTTGCAGTGATTTCCACTCACTTCCTGTTTGGGCTATTGAACAGGAAATGAATGGAAATCTCCCCAATGAGGCACAAATGGCAAAAAAAAAAAAAAAGTTGACAAATGTTATAATCCTCCCTTACTCTATCCAAATTTAATATAAAAAGGTTTGCCTTTAGTGCTACTTTAAGAAAAATTGGATTCTTTCACTTGCCTGAAATGACCCCATCTACATCCTCTGCCAATAAAATGGTAGTCCATTGCCACAAGAGAAATGTGAACACATGGTTCACTAAATGCAAACCAACACGACTGGTTCCTGAACCTTGCATGACAAATCCAAGTAATGCAATGAGACCTCAGTGGTATCTTGCAGCATTTGTAGCAGTTTATATAAATGAGAGGCACATCATACACTGGCATCACATGAAACCCTTATGGATTTGTAAATATTAACTAAATTGTGACTAGAACAACAAATGCTTAAAACGTTTCCCTGAAGCTCTCTTCTTTTTCTGGTCTCTGTTTTCATTTTGATCTCATTAGAGAGTAACTAACAAAAGTGGTAAGCAGCCCCGTTAAGTGCTGTGATTTGCCTTCATTGTAAGATGGCCTTTATTCTGAGTCCACTAGAGGGAGCCATTGGTCACCGATGTGCTCTTTCAATGCATTGTTGAATTTCAAAGAGTATCTCTGTATTCTTTGAGCAGAAAGGCTATTTGAATAATTACTGGCTTCATAAGGAGCTGAATACTAGTAACAAATGAGAAAATGTAACTGCGGTGAATTTGCACAGTGTGTTTCCAGCAAAAGATCTATGGGAGGGTTCACAGGAAGGCAAATATACAGGGGCCTTACTTTCTGTAACACATCTACCACTTAACTAGCGCCGGTCTCTTCGCGGCTCTCTCTCTCTTGCCCTCTGCACTCGGCAGAGCAGGATTATTATATGTAGTGTTAAGCAGATAATTATGAAACATCATTCAGCGTAATGACACAACAGAAGTTCAGGAAAGAGCAGAACTAATGTTTGACCAAGTCTGCCGGATTCAGAGAACAGAAATCCTTTCATGCGGAGTTTTTTTTTTTTTTAAACAAAGACAGATAAAACTAGCAAATTTACACATTTTATTTTTCGGAATGTTATTTCTGTTACCTGTGGTACACAACACCTAGCTTTGTATTAATAAGTGAACGTAGGTGGCTGGCTTTTAGAGAGCAAATAAGGTGAAACAACAAAAGTGGAAAGATAAAAAAAGAAAATAACCCCCTTTTGTTTAACCACTTGCCCTCCGGAGGATTTACCCCCCTCCTGACCAGGCCATTTTTTGTGATACGGCTCTGCGTTACGTTAACTGACAATTGCACGGTCATGCAAAGCTATACATAAATTAAATTTATGTCCTTTTTTCCCCACAAATAGAACTTTCTTTCAGTGGTATTTGATCGCCAGTGTGTTTTCAACTTTTTGCTATAAAACATATCTGGTAAAAAAAAAAATCACATTTTGTCATAAATGTAGGCCAAAATGTATTCTGCTACATGTTTTTGCTAAAGAAAATTCCAAGACGTGTAAATTAATTGGTTTACGTGAAATTTATAGCGTCTACAAATGGCAATATAGATAGTTATAGCGGGACTTATAGCGGAACTGTGATAGTGCGGCAGGCAATCTAACACTAACTGACACTGAGTGGGAACTGACTAACACACTGACTGTTAATGAACAGCACAGCACAGCCATGCAAAGCAGTGTGCTTACACTGACATCACCAGTGACACTAATAGATCTCTGGGGGGGGGGGGAGAACTGTTAATGAACAGCGCAGCACAGCCATGCAAAGCAGTGTGCTTACACTGACATCACCAGTGACACTAATAGATCAGTGATAATAATATTCACTATCACTTACTAATGACACTGAGTAGAAAAGGGTTAACATTTGGGGCAATCAAAGGGTTAACTGTGTGTCTAGCAAGTGTTAGGGTTCATGTACACTGCAGCTGAAAAACTCACGTTTAGGAGCTGTTCAGTGTTTTTTTCAGCAGCCCCTGAACTCTCCCTAATGTTTTCCTATGTGTCCATGTACACTATGTCGTTTACAGGGAGTTGAGTTTACAGTCGTTTTTTTTGACAGACTGCATTCAGGAGTAGATTTTATCAGCGTTTCAAACACCAAACACTTGTAAATGCGTGTAAACGCAGCTAACCGTGTTTATAAGCGTTTGCTTTTAGAAGCGTTTTTTAACTGTTCCATATCCAAATGCTGTCCAGAGCTTTTTTTTCATCATCAGAAATGCATGCAAAGCGTTTTCCATGTATTCAAATGGACCCAGTACACCAGCGCAGTCAGTTCCAGGTTTTGCGTGAAGGAAAAAATGTTAGAACGTGCTGCATTATGCTCATGATGGGATCCATAGTGAATACAACCAGAAAAGACAGGTCATCTCAACACATACTGCTCTCTCTTTTTCTGCTCTCTCTATTTCTTTCAAAATGTCTGAAATAGTTAATTTTTTACTGTTTTTCAGTGCATTCTGGGCATTTTGGAAGGTCTCCTGATGTTATCTTTAAAAAACGCTTCTAAATGCAAACGCGCATAAACGCAGTATGCAAACACGGCTAAACAGACGTTTTTTAACCTACGTTTTCCAGCAGTCAGTTTCCATTGTTCAGAAGTGTTTTCCAAACGTCCCGTGTACATGGAGCCCTTATTGTGTTAACTGTGTGCTGTTTTTACTAGGGAATGTGACAGTTTTATACCCTGCTTTGCAGGGAGACAAAAAATGGCACATCCCCACTGTCAGTATAGAGATCTTTGTTGTTTCAATTCGCAGCTGCAGCTGTCAATCACCAGGTCCTGGCCGGTGATCACTCGCTGGCACCTGGTGATTGCCGAGGATCTCTGAGGGGGGGGGGGGAACTGTTAGTGAACAGCACAGCACAGCCATGCAAAGCAGTGAGCTTACAGTGAAGCACACACACAGAACATCATTTAAAACAGCACACAGCACACAGTTAACCCTTTGATCGCCCCAGATATTAACCCCTTCCTGCCCAGTGGCATTAGTATAGTGTAATTGCTTTTTATTAGCACTGATGATTGTATTGGTGTCACCGGGGATGTCAGTGACACCAAGTCAGTTCCCGCCGCAATTCCCGCTATAAGTCGCTGATGACTGCCATTACTAGTAAAAAAAAAAGAAAAAGAAGAAGCCCAGTATATATATACTGGCATTTGCAGACGCTATAACTTTCGCGTAAACCAATTAATTTACACGTATTGGGATTTTTTTTTTTTTAGCAAAGACATGTAGCAGAATACATTTTGGCCTAAATTTATGATGAAATTTGATTTTTTAAATTTTTTTACTGGACATGTTTAATAGAAAAAGCACAAAAATATTGCTTTTTTCTCAAAATTGTCACTTTTTTTTATAGCGCAAAAAATAAAAAATGCACAGGCAATCAAATACCACCCAAAAGAAATCTATATTCATTTTTGGGAAAAAAAGGACTTAAAATTAATTTGTGTGCAGCAGTGTTGCAATGGTCAGATAAAGTAACGCAGCGTTGTAACGTCAGAAAAAAGTAACGCAGCGTCAGGTAAGAAAAAAATTCTCTGAAGGGCAAGTGGTTAATTTATGACTTTTATATGTGCATGGGGTTCAACTGTAAATAGTATATATATATATATATATATATATATATATATATATAAAGAGTGCACAAAAACCTATGACCATAAAAATCACAATCAAAACAAACAGTAAAGTAATGCAAAAAAATATCAACATCAATAAATAAAACCACCACTATAGTGAAAAAAAAAAACCTTATTCAGTGTAAATCAAAGAATGCGTCAGAAAGGGGGGAAAAAGTACGCAAGGGCACATTGGCTCCAGGCGAGCTATTTAAACTACTCTAGTTCCCTGTATCAGTGCTGTTTGGTCTATTACGCTCCTGAAGCATCAATGCATCTGTTCCTGTACTGCTCTCCTGTGACCCACCTGATCTGCTCCTGACTCTGCCTGAAATACCGCCTTCACTGACCCCTGGCTTGCCTCCAGACTACTCTTCTGTCTTATCTTTCTGCTCATCTGCCCTGCTGTTACCAACCATGGCCTGACTCCTGACTACTCTTCTGCCTGCCGTCTGTGTCTGATTTGCCTGCTAGTTGCTAACCTGGACTGTCTGACCTTGCCTTGGCTTTTCTTTCTGCACCTGAACCTGCTGAGCCGTGCCCGACATCAGCTCCTGTTTTTCTGCCAGCATCCTACCAGCCAGCTTCTCCTACATTCCCTGATGCTCATCAGCATCCACTAGAAGAAGCCTTATCAGGCACTTGTGCCACTCTGTGCTCTAGCAATCCCTGTTACTTTGCCAGAGCTGTAAGAGAGATCTTTAAACACATTAATCAGAAGACCCCCCAAAAAACAAAAAAACTACCATATGGGACCTGTAATGATGGGAAGTTAACTCAGTGCACTTTGGGCTCTATCACCAAGTACGTTACACAATGATATAATAGAAATAAAAGTTCACTCCGAAAAGCAATATTCAGGGCTCCACTAGGGGGCAATATAAATAATCTTGTGTGTAGATGAAAGTCCACTCCCAAAAGAATATTTCAGGGCTCCACTAGATGACCTATGTAGAATTTTGTTCCACATGTTTTAGTCCTAACCACCTCGGACATAGATATATGAATTTCATTACCACATAACCAGGATCTCCAGATTATAAGAGCTCACTAGTGCAGAATACATCGAATACAAATCACCGTTGCCGCTGAGGCATTGAGGTTGTTACCATATCCTGGTGTGATTCGTATTTGGTGTATCCTGTGCTACGGAATGTTCGAGATGAGTAGAGAAAAGTGATTTTACAGCTTTACCACGATTTTGGCATTTTTGGATTGGGTTCCGGAGTTCAGAGGCCTCAGAGAGTCTTAGGAGAGAGAAAGCCTATAATCCTTTGTCCAGGTTATACCAGAGATCAGCGAGGTAAAATTGCAGGTGTGCACAGCCCTTATAATCTAAGGTCTGACAGCAGTTTGGGGTCATGCCCTCCCCAGGAGTCCAAGAGGCTGCAAAGAAGCAGTCAGATTTGTCCATGTCTGCACAATACAGGTGAAGTCTGTGGCAGAACAGACAGGAGATCCCTACCCAGGCTAGGGAGTGGGCCAGTTTAGCAGGAGCCTGAGTGTACAGAGAGACCTGCATGTAAGCACAGGGGGTGTGCTGGGAGGCAGTCTAAGGGACTAAATCAGAGGCTAAGCAGAGGTCTAAGCAGCAGTGCTGTGAAAGCAAGTAAGGAGTCTTAAGGACATTTTCTTTTGTATTCTAAAGTAGTGGTGGAACTGCAAGGGTATTTCTTTTGTTTTAAATAAAAGTGGGCCACCAAGCTCTGAAACGTCATTGGTTGATTGTCATTGACTCACCTAAACGCTCTACACCACTGAGTTAACTTCCCATCATTACAGGTCCCATATGGTAGTTTTTTTGTTTTTTGGGGGGTCTTCTGATTAATGTGTTTAAAGATCTCCTGATCCAATATATACAGTACAAAGCAAACACAGTATATAATAATTAAAAAAACAAACAAACACAACCTTAACCTATAAAAACATTAAACTCCAAACTACAACATTCTAAACCCTGTCCATACAGCACAAAAATATAAATATAAAAATGATCATTTATATATTAAAATAGGGTCTGTCCTGTCCTGTGTTTGGCCTTTATTCCATACTGGTGTGAGTTACCATATTTTTCGCTCCATAAGACGCACCTGACCATAAGACACACCTAGATTTTAGAGGCAGAAAACAGGAAAAAAAATTCTGAACTAATGGACTGCAGACATAGTATAGGGGATGACCAGAGACTGCGGACACAGTACAGGAGATGACCAGAGACTGCGGACACAGTACAGATGACCAGAGACTGCGGACACAGTACAGGAGATGACCAGAGACTGCGGACACAGTACAGGAGATGACCAGAGACTGCGGACACAGTACAGATGACCAGAGACTGCGGACACAGTACAGGAGATGACCAGAGACTGCGGACACAGTACAGGAGATGACCAGAGACTGCAGACATAGTACAGGAGATGACCAGAGACTGCGGACACAGTACAGGAGATGACCAGAGACTGCGGACACAGTACAGGAGATGACCAGAGACTGCGGACACAGTACAGGAGATGACCAGAGACTGCGGACACAGTACAGGGATGACCAGAGACTGCGGACACAGTACAGGGAATGACCAGAGACTGCGGACATAGTACAGGAGATGACCAGAGACTGCGGACACAGTACAGATGACCAGAGACTGCGGACACAGTACAGGAGATGACCAGAGACTGCGGACATGGTACAGGAGATGACCAGAGACTGCGGACAGCACAGGGATGACCAGAGACTTTGGAAAGTACAGGGGATGACTGCTGACCTTTGGGGGGGGGGGGGGGGGAGCGGGTACCTGAATTTGACAGATACCCGCTCTTACTTCCGCGGAGTTGTTCTTTCATCTTACCTGTTCCGCTATCCAGCCGCGCGCTGTCTTCCCGGCTTCTGTAATGGCGCTCGGCATGACAGCCGGGTGCCCAGTGCGCATGAGCGAGAAGCACTTGCGCTTTGTGATTGGTCCGGCGGCTTCTGGGATCTGTCATGTGTCCCAGGTGCCGCCTTACCATTCACAAAAAGCACCGCTTCTTGCGCATGCGCACTTGACACCCGGCTGTCATGCCCACACT